ATGTGCGATATATATTCAATAAATTATTAAATATTGATTGTATAGAGCGGCCACTCTAATGAGTTAATTAATTACTCACAACTCGTCAGTAGTTTATATGAATTGTAACTTTATTTAAATATAAAATAGATTTAATCGTGGTGAGTACTGGATCCAGAATGTATAACATTCTTGTTACAATGAGCTTATATAACATGTTTACAGGATGTTAACAAGGTTGATTACTAATATGCAAATCATGATAGTTGTTTTAACGACTACAATAATAATTAAGTTATGTATATTAGACGGGAAATTTAATACATATATTAATAGACTATATCATATAGTGATACAAATAAACAATATTTTTGGAATTAATATCAGCATTAATACAATTACAGACCACTGAATGACACAATTATTATTGCAATCAAATTGTTTTAAATATGAAATTATTAGAAATTAATTATATTTAACCGAAATATAAGTATTGAATTGAATGCGAAATTGTGTGCAAAAAATGGGCAAAAGAGTGAATGTCGTGAAAGCGTTGACCGAAAGACAAATCGGTTTAATCCGATCCCCATATCGACAGTCGCTTCAAATCATGCATTCATTGATTAAAAATGTATTCAATCTATGATTAAATCTATTCATTATTTTACTTGTTGTTTTGTGTTTCAGAAAAGCACACGATTTGAGAAGATATGGTCCGAGACATCAAAACAGCCCATCGTTTACGACGAGTCAGTCTTTCAATCACTTCTTCTCCTTCTTATCATTGTTTTACTTATTGTTGTTTTGTGTTTCAGAAAAGCACACGATTTGAGAAGATATGGTCCGAGACATCAAAACAGCCCATCGTTTACGACGAGTCAGTCTTTCAATCACTTCTTCTCCTTCTTTTTACAAATGAATTAATTGTATATTTAGGTCCCGAATATACGTCACGTATCAAAAATACGCCAATAATTATTATAATTACTATACCCAATGTCTAGCGCTGTAAGCATTCATACCATATATACATGTATTTATTTGTCATCTAATTATGTGATATTCTTCAGGTGTGGAAAAGACGGTTTGCCTTCAAAGCTATACCGGCTTCAGAAGAATGTTGTTTGCATTCAGGAATTTATAAAATTTGAAGATATATTCATTCACAGCGGACCAGTTGTAACGATAACATATGTTTCAGTCATTATATTTTATTAAATCATTATATTGTTAACATTATGCCAGAAATGTACACCACTTCCTCGCGATGACTATAAGCCATACTTTTTGGCCGTCACTTCCGATAATTGGCTCATTAGATACGATAACGTGAGCGGAAAAGTATTGCAAGAGATATACTTGGGATACGTTCACAAGAGAAATGCTTATGTTCTCGATTGGGAAACCAGAATAGAATCCATAGCACTATTATGGCCACAATTGCCAACCGTTAATAATAACGTGCCGAACACGCATCAGCTTAAAGCAGTGATTATGGTCGTCATCTTTAAGATAATGCCCATTAGATTCGTCGGACGTTTTGAAGTCAATCAGACGGTTAGTCTTTTAAATTTTATTCATTTTTTCTTTTATTTCTAATAAAATTTCAATTAATTGCCAGACCTTTGGAGAGGATCTAAAGGGCATTGACGTATCAGAAGGACTTTTTATTGTAGGAATTGGTTCCCAAAAAAATGCTAAAATTCGTATTTATAGTCTCCACGAAATTCTTAATCAAACGAATCGTTTGTTTGAAGCGACTCTTGACAAGAAGTGTCCGGAATTGGGCGGAAAGACCGGTCAATACCCGTTTGGACTGCCATTAAATTATAAGGTATTTCTCTAAACGGTAATAAATTTACATGTGATATAATAATGTGATATAAATGTAATTAAAAACAGATCAAAACCGCTCCACCGGTTCTGTTTGAAGTAAATACCTCCGCAACTCCGATATTTGGAGGCCATCCGTGGCATTACGTGACCAACCCTTCCAACAGTTCCGGAGTATTTGAAGTGCGAAACGTTGCGACCAATGAATTGGCAGAAAACGGTCGCTTTGTTGTCCGAAACAATACAACATTTGCCGATACATTGACTTTCCATACGGACGACACGGGAAGACTGGTCTACGAATCGGGAAATTATATTAAATTTTATCAAATCTTTGGCGAAAAGAATCCATATTCTATACGACAACAGTTTGAAATGAAAGTTAGGTTTAATGACAAGAATGGGGTAAATAATGGCACCGAAATCACGAGAAGAGTTAACGCTCGACGCGAAGCAAAGAAAAATATTTGTTACGCCGAAAAATCTTGGGTTTCTATATATTTTTTGAAATTTAATATAAAGATATTGCGATAAATCATTAATTTTAATATTTACGAAAGTATTGTAAAGCATTTATACTGTATATATTGCTTTAAATTAGCAACAAATTTTAGCCACACATTTTGAGAATGAATTGGATATGTATTCAATTTTGGAAACCAATACTCAATTGGGTCATCAGAAGAATAACGGAATGATCACTATTTGCGATAACAATACTGGAGAGATATTACATGAGATTTCGTTAGGACTTACACTTAATGAAGTATTTGATGTTATATTAACTGATTTTTTGATTAATCAAACAAAGAAATTGTTACCATACATGTATGTTAAAATTTAATTCATTGAACAGCACTCAGACTATGAATTAATTATGGATTTGGACACAATTATTATTACATATCATGAATATATGAATGCGATGGCAAGTCCGGTAAATAAGTATTACTGTCATATCTTCAGAATGACCAGGGATTCAGACATTGATTTACTAAAGTATACACCAATTAATATATAATAAATTATTGATTTTCTCATATTTGATCCCAAATTAGAGCCAATCCTAACGATGGATAAAAAGACTCGAAGGAATCGGACGAATATAATATACGGTACAAAAATATTACCGTTAATAATTTTATTTCAATATTGAATTCCATTGTTCCTAAATTTTTTATTCATTTTAATATAATGTTATTAATGTATGAGGGTCTCAGAGTTATAATCGCGTTTTTTCATATAGTCCATAGTAATAAAAAGTACCAAGTTTACAATATGCGTCAATTTACAATTTACAATAAATCAAATCTATTTTCTATTTCTGTTAATTTATGCATATTAGATATACAAAATGATTGATTCATTTTAATTAACTTTAAATTTATTTAGTTTTTATTTATTAAAAGCACATGTTATGAAAAACTGTTTGATAATAGCAGTAGACGCATTTGGACCGTTTGTATACGTCTATATATTTCATAAACGCGATTATAACTCTGAGACCCTCGTATGTATGCTTATATTTAAATATATTAAAGTGTAAAATGCCAAATGTGTGCATTTGTAATCATAAATATAACAATGATTGACATTAAATTGAAAATATACAACAATTGTCTCATTGGATACGAACTGAAGTGCAAGTATTGGCTTAAAGTTGAAGTGAAGGTCTTTCCCAACACTCGACGCGATAACAGGTTTTAGGTTTTCATTCAAACTTTTAAAGTTTTGTTTGCGATTACGAAATACAAATCCATTGCAAAAGTATTCAATCAAAACATCATTGAAAACAATTGTTTTATTCCTTCGGTTATAGTATTTGTAAATTTAATTGATTTCATCATTAATTTGAATGAATTGATAATAATTTAAAAATAGTTTTTATAATATTTGAAAATTTTGATTTTGAACCAAAATGAGTGCATTTTGTGGAAAATATCGTGAATTGAATATCATTTCAAAGTAAATCAAACTTTAATTTCTAATGAATTAATTTATATTTGAAATATATTTTTGACAATTTGTAGACAATTAGGACTCAAATTAAATTTGTCGGAGAGATGGGTGTCGAGGATGTCGTCGACAGCCGGCAAAGAATCAGTCAAAACGCGTCCATTGAATCGGGTTTTGATCGCAAATCGCGGAGAGATTGCCATAAGAGTGATGAAGAGTGCGAAACGATTGGGTCTTCAGACGATTGCCGTCTATTCGGATGCGGACGCGAACGCA